TTCCCTGACAGCAAATACATCTCATCTAAGCTTTCTATCTCTCCCAGTGCTAGCTCAGTGCTGTGACATGGTAAGCACTAAAATAGATGGATTGAATTGAAATATGTAAGAAGCAGAGCATTATGTTAGGCATGGGGAGTGAGGGAACAGAGAAAGATCAACAAGACAGGGGTGCTGCCTTCATGGAGCTTACAATCTAGAAATGGCAGGTGCTTCCATTTATGAATCACTGGTGCCCCCTACTGTCTTGTGACCTTGAACAAGTCTCTTAACCTAGTCCAGTTGTATAGTCCATTTGTAAAATGAGCAATCGGATTAGATGACCTGAAAGGTCCTCTCTAGCTCTAGCTCTGTATTCCTACCTAGCTAAACTCCTCCAATAGATGGTCTATACCAGGCTCACCTCTGCTCTCTTCTCACTCTCTTCTTAACCTTTTGCAATCCAGCTTCTCCAAAGTTACAAATAATTTCTTAGTAGCCAAGCCAATGGCCTTTTCTCAATCCTCATTCTCCTTGACCTCTCTGCAGCCTTGGACACTACTGATCACTCTCTCTTCCTCGATACTCTCTTCTCTCTAGGTTTTTGGGATACCTCGTTCTCCTGGTTCTCCTCCTACCTATCTGACCGATCCTTCTCTGTCTCCTTCCTTAGATTCTCCTCCAGATCACCCCCTCTAACCATTAGTGCCCCTCAGGATTCTTTCCTGGACCTTCTCTTCTTCCTCTGTATATACTCTATGCTTGGGGATCTCATTAGCTCCTATGGACTTAATCACTGTATTTCTAGGCTGACAGTTGTCACACCTACCTATCATGCTCCAATCTCTCTGCTGACTTCCGGTATCATGTCTCCAATTGCCTAGTAGACATCTCAAACTGGATGTCCCAAGGACATCTTAAATTCAACACATAACAAAATAGAACTCATTATCTTTCCCCCTAAACCCTCCCTGCCGCCTACCTTCCCTATTACTATAGAGGGCAACACTGTCCTTCCAGGCCCCCAGGCTTGAAGCCTGGGAGTCATCTTCTACTCCTCATTATCTCTCATCTCCCAATATCCAAGATATTGCCACGGCCTATTGATTTCACCTTTGCACACCATCTCTCAAATATGCCGCACCCCCTCTCCTCTGACAGCTCCGCTGCCCTGTTTCAGACCCCCGTTACCTCATGCCTGGATTATTACACTAGCCTGCTGGTTCATCTGCCTGTCTCAAGTCTCTCCTCACTCCAGTCAGTCCTTCATTCAGCCACCAAAGTAATTTTCCTAAAGCACAGGTCCAACTATGTCACTGCCCCCAAACACACACTCAGTAAACTCCATTGGTTTTCTATTGCCTCCAGGAGCAAATACTAAATTCTCTATTTGGCATTCAAAACCCTTTATAACCTAACCCCTTCCTGTCTTTCCAGTCTTCTTACACCTTCCTCTCCAAAATGTACTCTTTGATCGAGTGACTCTGGCCTTCTGGCTGTTCTACAAACAAGACCCTCTGTCACTCTGCTCTGGGCATTTTCTCTGGCTGTCCCCTATGCCTGGAACACTCTCCCTCCTCATCTCCACCTACTGGCTTCCCAGGCTTCCTTTAAGTCCTAAGTAAAATCCCACCTTTTGTAGGAAGCCTTTCTTAACTCCACTTAATTCCAATACCTTCCTTTTGTTAGTTATTTACTATGTATCCTATATATAGCTAGTTTGTACATTTGTTTACATGTTGTTCTCCCATCAGATTGTGAGCTCTTTGAGGGCAGAAACTGTCTTTTGCATCCTTTTGTATTCCCAGCACTTAACATAGTGCCTGACACATAGTAGGCACTTAATAAATGTTTATTGATTGGTTGATTGATACAAGGTGTCCCAAAAGACTTAGTGCAATTTTAAGCTTTAACAAGTTTATTAATTTTAGCATAAGATTAAGACTTTCAGAATACCCTGTATGTAGAATAGAATCACCAGTTGGAAGGGACATCAGAAGTCATCTAGACTTGCATGTAACTCTGCAGAGATCCCTTCTACAATATGTCCAATGACTGGTCATCTAGCCTTTGCTTGAAGACCTCCAGTGAGGTGGGAACTCACCACCTTATCAAAGGCCCTCACTCCACTTTTGGAGAGCTCTCATCGTGAGGAAGCTTTTCTTGACATGAAGCCTAATTGTCTTACTTGCAGCTTCCACCCACTACTAGCCCTCTGGGACAGAACAAAACAAATCTAGCACTGCAGAGATGCACCATGAAGACAGAGCTTCATGACTTCTGAGGCCTCCTCTAGCTCTGAAATTCTATGGTTCTGGGTGACTCCAAGCTTGGTTCTTTGTAAATCTTAAAAAGCTATAGAAATATGAGTTATTTTTATTGTGGCATCCTTTTCCCCTCCAATTTTTTTCACAGATTGAACTTTTCCTTACATAAACATTTCATGAGGTTTAGAGCTGAAAGGGACCTTAAAAATCATCTACTCCAAATCCTTCATATTTTAAATTATTCTTTATTTCTTTACTTTTTATTGACATTTCTCTACTTTTTAATTGATATCTTTGGTTTTTTACTTCACCTTCACTTCTGACTATATCCCTCCTCCCTTTCCTACCCAGAAAACCATCCCTTATGACAAAGACTAAAAAAGAAAGAGGAAAAAGGCAGTTTATCAAAATGAGCCCATACATCAACCAAGTCAAATATATGTAATGTTCTCCTCCTATAATCCCTCCACTTATGAAAAAAAAAAAGAATGGAAATGCATTTCCCTTTTCTTTTCAATGTGTATTGACACTTTTTGTTTTTCATCAAGCTATATTTTCCCTTCCCCTTACCCAGAAGAGCATCTGTAACAAAAGAAAAAGAGAAAGGGAGGAAATGATTTAGCAAAATTCAACAGTTAGGGGCAGCAAGGTGGCACAGTGGATAGAGCACTGACCCTGGAGTCAGGAGGACCTGAGCTCAAATCCAACCTCCGACACTTGACACTTACTAGCTGTGTGACCCTGGCAAGTCACTTAACCCCATTACCTAGCCCCCCCCCAAAAAAAAATTCAACAGTTACACACCCATAGGCCCCCATTTCAGCAAAGAAAGAAAGGAGGCACATTTTCTCATCTCTTCTATGGGACCAGGCTCAGGCATTAACTACACATTAATTATTATTTGGTTTGTTTCTTTCCATTGACATTACTGTAGCCAATAAAAATTCTGTTTTCCTGGTTCTATTTACTTCACTTTGTATGAGTTCATCTCAGTATAGCTGTGCTTTTCTGAAGTCATCTTTGTCATTGCTTTTTGCAGAGCAATAATATTCCCTTATATCCACATCCCACAATTTGTTTGACTGTTGTCCAGTCATGGAATCACAGACTCAATGCATTTGAAAGTTGGGAGGGGCTTTGGCAGCCATCTACCCTCACTGTCACCATCCTAACAAGTGATTCTCCAGCCTCTTCTCAAAGACGTCCAAGGAAAGGAAACATGCCACCTCTCAGGGCAGACCATTCTACTTTAGGATAGTTTTCATCGGCAAGAAGCTTTTCCTGACGATGTCAAGCTTAAATTTGCCACTCACTACTCCTGATTTGTCCCTCTAGGACAAAACAAAACAAGTCTATTTCCTCTTCCCTGTGATAACTCTTCACATTCTTTTTTTTTTTAATTCTATGGAATAAAACAAGCATTTCCATAGTATAGTACAATAAAAAAGATGACTGTACATGAAACTGCAAATCTACCATGTACAGCTTGCTATTCACTCCAAATATGCAACAAAGTTATTGTGTAAATTTCTCCCCTTTTTTTCTTTTCTCCTCCCCTGCCCCCCCCAACCATTCTTCTTTTCTCCAGGCTAAATATGCCTAGTTCAATCAATCCTTATACGTCATGTGATAAGGTAGAAAAGAGTGGTTGAGGCAGATGGAGCAAGTAGGATGCAGGATGTGAGATATGAGATAAGGTGCAGGATGTGACCAGCCAGAAAAGTGATCAAAGAAGACTATGCATTGAAGCCCCCACCATGAACTTACCTGTGCACTTTCACAAAGCACCCCCAATTAACCCGACATTTCAGAACAACTCTTCCCCTTCCCTTTCCTGTTCTCTTTACTTATCTGTATGACAAAAGCACCTCCAGACTATCTGATATTCCAGGCATTCCATGTGCTTGCCCCTCCTCCCATTCTCTGCTTCTCCCATGTGAAAGCAGGGCCTGCTTGGGTGAGTCACCCCAGTAAACACCTTTCTTTAACTTGGAGAAATGTCCGAGTGAATTCTTTAGCACAACAGAACCCATGCGTACATACTCATCATCGTGAACCCGAGGCCCTTCACCATTCTGCTACATCTCCTCTAGACAATCTCCACTTTAACAATCTCCTTCATAAAATGTGGTGCCCAGAACTGGACACAATGATGGCTAAAAAGGTTCAAGTACAGTGGAGTGATCACCTCCCTAGTCCTGGAAACTATGCCCCTCTTAGTGCATAAATCAATGGGGATGTCTATTCTGTTTCTAATTCTTTACTACTACACAAAGTAAGGGCAGCTGGGTAACGCAGTGGCTATAGCAAGAGATCTGGAGTCAGGAAGACCTGAGTTCAAATCTGGCCTTAGACACTTACCAGCTGTGTGACACTGGTCAGTCAAGTCATTTAACCCTATTTGCCTCAGTTTCCTCATCTGTAAAATGATCCGGAGAAGGAAATAGCAAACCATTCTAGTATCTTTGCCAAGAAAACCCCCAATGGGGTCACAGAGAGTCAGATACCACTGAAAAACAACAAAAAGTGCTATTAGGAATATTTTGGTATATATATATATAGGGCCTTTGTGTCTGTTTTTAACCTCCTTGGGATACACGCCTAGCAATCAGATCTCTGTATCAAAAAACATGGACATTTTAGTAATTTTTAGCATAATTTAAAATTGCTTTGTAGAATTCACATCCCCACCCACCATCAGTGTATTCATGTGCCTTTATTCCCCTTGCCCTCCCATGCTGACTATTCCCATTATTTATCATCTTTGTCGTTTTCTTGAATATAGGGTAAAAACGCAAAGTTCTTTTGATTTGGCTCTCTCTTATTATTAGTGACTTGGAACAATCTTTCACAAGGTTATTAATAGTTTGGCCATTTCTTTTTTGAGAACTGTTTGTTCATGTCCTCTGACTACTTGTCTGTGAAGAAATGGCCTTTGCTCTTTTATGTTTGTGTTGTTTCCACATGTCCTTGGATATCAGACCATTAGCAGAGATATTTGGTGCAATTTTTTTAAATTTGACATTTTCCTTCTTTGCTAGTTTAACACGGTGGAACTTTTACAGAGAGGAATAGTGATTTCCAAAGATAATCACAAATATTCAAACACACTTCCCCCAGTGCGTGGGAGACTCCTTGCCTTCAGTCTCTGAAGAGGGGAAGGGGATTAGGTTCACAGTTTAGCTTCGATCCCTTGGAGCGCAGTCCCAAATCCAAGGCCAGAGCCCCTCTTGAGCTTGAGTCCAGGGCACTCTGGCTTCTTAGGGTTTCCATATTGAACTGGCAGTTGCTACACCACCCCGCCTGCAATCTTGGCTTCGGGCTCCAAGGTCTCCATGGCTTGAACAGTCCATTGAGGATCCAGTGAGTCCAGTGAGGATCACCTCAAGCACCTGAAGCTGAGAACAAATAACACAAAGCAGAAACACCCCCAAACTCATTCATGAGGGAAGGAGAGTCCCTTCTCCTCTCCCTGTTTCAGTTCATGGCTTCCAGTTGGGCACAGAAGCTAGGAACACAGCCAAAGGATGGCAGAAAAGAGAGCAAACAGCTTGGGTGGACTAAAAGACTGCCAATCAAGGTGCCTACTTCCCACTCACCTGTTAGGAACACAATGGGCTCCACGTTTAGCAAACTAAGCATGCTCAAAAGTCACGTTACACTGGTTTTGCTAGAGTAATCTCTATGTCCTCCTAGCCATAGCTGCAAAAGGCACCTGATCTCCAGCCTCCTCGTGTTGCAAAGAAAGAAACTGAGGCCCAGAAAGGGGAAGGGACTTGACTCAAACCACAGAGCTAATAGGTGGTGGAGCCAAGACACATACCCAAGTCTTTGACCCCAGATCTAAATGTTTTTGTCGCTCTCTCTCTCTCTTAAGCCCGAGAGAATTGTTTTGAGAGTGGGAGCCAGCGTGAAAGTCTGGACAAGACTCCCTCTGGCAGTTCTGAAACAACAGGAGCAAAATGAGAACTCTCTGGATTGCTCTTGCTGACCAATTACTCAGCAATAGTAGAACAATGACACTTGAAACTCGGTATTTGGCTAGACCTTTCTGAGAACAGTGCATTAGTCACAGTGGGAGGAATTTGACTGAACGGGCCCCTTTCTTTTTCTGAAGCAGTTGGAGTTTGGTGGGGATGTTCCTAATTGTGGTTTGCTGGAGCCTTTTAGGAGGCAAAACACAAACCTACACTGTAGATTTCCCAAGCTTAAAACAATCCGGCTATTCCAGAGATTTATTGGGTTTCAAACAACAGTCAAGACAAGCGACAAATTCTGAATTCTCCTTCTCCACTACCCACAATATACGAGCCATTTCCTAGGACTCAGAAATGTTCCATGAATTTTAGTTTTGAGGCCCAGATATTCTAAAACTACATAATCACGATCACAATCATAAAGAACATTTACACAGCCTTTTAATGTCTGTAAAGCACTTTACATACATTATCTTGTTTGACCCTCACAATCAGTCACTAAATCAACAGGCATTTACTAAGAACTTATGATATGCCAGGGCCATCTCCAGTGGTCCTGATCTATATTTGACCACTGGACTCAGATGGCTCCGGAGGACAAAGCGAGGTTGGTGACTTTGCACAGCTCTCCCTCACTTAAATCCAATTCACTTGAAAGTCATGGCATCATTCCTCTAATAACAAAGGACAATACCACAACAACAATATGGAAGACACTGTGCTAAATGCTGGGGATGTGAAGGATGGCACAAACAGTCCCTGCTCTCAAGGAGCTCACAGGCTAATGGAGGAAACAACATGCAATAACTATGCACATGCAAAATACATACAGGAAAAAGTGGAGATCGTCTCGGAGGGAAGGCACTAGCTGAAGGAGGAATCAGGAGGGCCTCTTGTAAAAGGCAGGATTCTAGCTGAGTCTTAAATGAAGCCAGGGTAGCCAAGAGGCAGAGGTGAGATGGCAGAGCAATCCAGGCATGGGGGAGGGCCAGCAGAAAGGCATAGTCAGGAGATGGAGTATCCCGTGTGAGGAACAGCAAAAAGGCCAGTGCCACTAGAACACAGAGTATTTGGAAGTATAAGTATAAGAAAAGTATAAGAAAATTGAAAAAAAAAAAAAGGAAGCATCCAGGTTATGAAGAACATAAAGAGCTGATAGAGGATTCTCTATTTGATTCTGGAAGTAATAAGGAGATCCCAAAATGTAAACTCTCAGGAATATTATAGCCAAATTCCAGAGCTCCCAGGTCAAGGAGAAAATGTTGCAAGCGGCCAAAAAGAAGCAATTCAAGATTTAGCAGTTTCTACATTAAGGTATTAGAGAGCTTGGAATGTGATATTACAGAAGGAAAAAGAGCTAGGATTACAATCAAGAATCACCTATGCAGCAACACTGAATATAATCCTTCAGGTGGAAAAATGTATATTCAACAAAACAGAAGACTTTCAAGCATTCCTGATGTGGCCCTTTGGGAAGGTAAGAAGTAGTCTGGAATCCAGCAGGGATGGGCCTGATGCTGTAGAAGGAGCAGGGGAGAAGCCAAGTGGCAGCTCCATTGCTCATACTCCCAAGCTGGGTCACAGATATAGCATGAACTGAGGAGGTGACCTGTGCCAGGGACAGCCAACTAAGATGATAAGGAGCATTCCAGGCCTGAGGCTATAGACTAAGCAAAGAGCAAGAACAGAATCAGGCAAGAGCTATATATGCTGTGCCCCTGCAGTGAATCTCACAGTTAACCCCCACAATCCAGTCTGAGGCCTGCAGCTAAGTGACCAGAGCAAGAAGCTCAGATGAAGAGGAAACCTGAAGTTCTTATGCTCTAAACCTATAGAGCTTTTCAACTAGTTGGTAAAAGGCTGAGACCAGGAGCAATTTACTGTAGCTTCAACCAGGACCAGCCTACTTTTTTGTTGCCCAGACCCAAACCAAGTTCACAAGCTTGCAAAGCTTAGACCAGGAGGGCAGCAATCAGACTTTAACCTAGATCAAATCCATTTGGGCTCACTAAAGTTTGCAAGTACCCAGACTGAAATACCCCTGATATCCTTGAAGAGCACAGGACATAATACTCAGAGAAAGTATTAGCCGTAGGCTCAGAGAATACAAGTCAGTACCATACAAAACCCAAACATTCTTTTCAAAAGTGCACAAAGTCTGAACCTAAAACGAAGTCCCAAATCGAGAAGTAATGCTGAGGGGCAGCTAGGTGGCCCAGTGGATAATACACCGGGTTCAAATCTGGCCTCAGACACTTGACACATACTAGCTGTGTGACCCTGGGCAGGTCACTTAACCCCACTGCCTAGCAAAAAACAAAAAACAAAACAAAAACAAGAAGTAATGCTGGAAGAATGAATAAAAAACAACAACAAAAACCTCCCCCCAAAAAAACCTCCTACTCATTATAAAGAGCTCTTATGGTCAAACAAATATTTATGACACACTTAGAAGAGAATTACTCTAGAATGTCTACAAGCCTTAAAGCCTCTAAGAAAAACTCAACTTAGAAATAAATTCAATAAGAATTCCTTTAAAAAAATTTTTTTAAAAAGAATTCCTGAAAAAAAAGCAAGAAGGTTTTTAAGGGTTAAAAATTATTTCATAAGGAGATTAAGAATGCTAAAGGAAAAGAAGTTAAAACTTTGAAGGAAAGACTTGGAAAGAGAATCAGTCTTAAAACAAGAGGTGTAAAACCTGATCTAACTAATAGATTCTTTGACAATTAGAATGGACCAAGCAGAAGTTAATGACTCCATGAGACAACACAAAAATTAAAACAAAGCCAAAATATTTAAAAATTGAAAAAATGTAATGTATTTTATATAAGAAAAATTGACTTGGAAAACAGAAAAGGGAAAGACAACTTAAGAATCATACTATCTGAAAGTCAAGACCAAAAAATAACCTAGACAGCATGTTTCAAGAAATCATGAAAGGAAATTGCCTGGATCTATCAGAGCCAGAGGGCAAAGTAAAAATAGAAACAATCCACAGGCCACCTCCTGAAAGAAACTCCCAAATGAAGACTCTCAGACACATAATACCAGAACTTCCAGATCAAAGAAAAATACTGCAAGCAGCAAGAAAGTAATATTTCTATTACCAAAGAGCCACATTCATAATCATACAAGATTTAGCAGCTACCACTTTGGGAGTGGAGAGGTTGTAATATGATATTCCAAAAGACAAAAGATATAACCAAGAATAACTTACCCAGAAAAGTATAGTCTTGAATACAATTCTACAGGGGGAAAATGGACCCTTAACGAAAATAAAGAACTTCAAAGCATTTCTGATGAAAAGACCAGACCTAAGTAGATACTTTGAACAAAAACATAAATGTCAAGAGAAATATAAACCAGCACATATGCGTAATTCAACAAATAGAAAGGCTAAAAAAAAAGATGAAGAATTTACATTCTAAAAGGGGAAGATGATATACATGTCCCCTTAAAATTCTAATGTCATCAGGGGACATGGAGGGAATTAAATTTTAAAAGTCTTAGTGAGCTGTCTGGGGCACTAAAAGATTAGGGAGAAATGAAAAGGGAACCAGCATTTATTAAGTGCTTACTATGTTCCAAGTAGTATGCTGAGTGCTTTACAAATATTTTCTCATTTGATCCTCACAACAATTCTGTGAAATAGGTGCTATCATTATCCAGAATTTATGGTTAAGGGAAGATTATGTGATTCACTCATCACCACAGTACACACAGCACAGGTTAGAAGCGGGATTTGAACCCAAGTCTTTCTGACTCCAATGTTGGCTTTCTAGATGATATGCCTTGATGCCTCCTTAACTTTGTTTTATAATAATAAGTTCTGAGAAGTGAATTATTTGTATAGTAGTAGTAAGTAACACAGCCTGAGCTAGGACTTCAATCTGATGTCTTTACTCAAGTCTAGTGGAATGCTGCAGGCAGATTATCAGGTACAGAAAACCACGAATTGGGATAACAAGATTTCCTGGCTTATTACTGACATGCCCGAAGGAACATAGAGGTTCTCAAAAATAAGCATACAGCAGTTTGAACACTGGGCACTGAATAATTTCTCTATTTTCTTATTCTAGTTATGGACACACACATGATACTTGCACCAAGGAGCACATGTATTACATACTCCATTGGTTGTCCTTCCCAGATGGGAAGCCTCCAGGCAGAGAACACACGCTTGAAGACCCAGACGACTGCACTACACTGTCTCATCACCCAAGGATACTGTCTTGTTGATCTCGCTGGCTAATTCTTAGGCTATAGGATTATGGGTATCATAAAGGTTCTAAAGTTCATTGCTCTCTGTGGGTTGGAGTAAAAAAAAAGTCTAGGTGGCAAAGGGGAGGTGCTACGTTAATGATAAGTGAAATACAATGTTAAAAAGATAGATGGCATGTATGGATAGGAAGAGAAGGAAGTAAAATCCTTCAGCAGAAGGATTCTGCTGAGGGAGAGGAGGAGTTTAGTAGGGAAATATTGCTCGAATCTCCTACCAGTTTCTTTTTGAAATGGGCTTCCTCCCTATTCCTGACTTTAGCTTTCCTTTAGAATTCCTGACCTCAGTTTAAATTTAGGTAGATTTTTTTTTTCCAAAGCAAGTCAGTTAATTTGTGATTTCATTACAGTGGCTTTGTGTTCTCACTACAAAACTTCTCTTGTTTGCTTTTGGATATTCCAGAATGCCCACTGGTACCAACTTCTGCTCAGCATGCTCACTCTAAGAGCTGCGGAGTTGCAGCCTCTATAGTCTGGAACTTAATAAATACTTGCTGGATTGAATTCGATTCACAGTGGCAAGAAGATAAGAATGAAGCAGTGATCTCATAAGAGCCTTATGCTTCATCTGAGGGGTCTCCAGACCAGAAAGTTTGACTTCTGCTTTAGACCACAACCAACAGGTCACCTTCCAAATGCCTAACAATCCATTTTATTTGACTCTCTTTGAGAATCAGGAAGAAAGGAAGATTTAGGAGGAACATAATTGCTGCCTTTAGAGTTTTCAAGAGCTGCCATATGGATAAGAGATTAGACCTGTACTGCTTGATTCCTGGGTGTAATGAGAGTCAGGAATGGAAGTTGCTGAGAAACAGATTTAGGCTTGATGTAAGGAAATGTCCATTGTTATTAGTACTATTAGAAAGCAGAATCGACTGCCTTGGTTTGATAACTTATTTAAGTTTCTTCTTTTTTTCAATAGTAATAAACTGACTCACCTTCAAATACATGAAAGCAATAGCAATACAAAGAGGATCCTGCTCCTGGCGTTGTTAGATGGGTGCTTCCCAAATCCACTTTGATAGTTCTTAGTCCACAGATGGGATGTTGATGCAGCTGCCTCATGTTCTAATCTACCTGCGTATGAGAGTGCAGTCAACTTCGCGTAGGCTACATTTCAAGACTGGCTGAGTGATCTCATGAGATTGTTAGGAAGCTAAGTCTTCAGTCTTCCTAGAGGCTCTAGCAATCTCCAATCGGTCTTTCAGACGCTATGCTTCATCCCCTTTGTTGACACCACACTTGTGAAAAATCCTTAGTAGTGTAACAAAAGATCTTGATCTTTTAAGCTTTGCTCATTCTGTAACCTTTGTAACCGCCATCCCTTTTTTTCCTTCTGGGAGAAGTCTCCCAGCAGACTTGCTTCCAGCTCCTAAATGCATGATCCACAGCATAACCTCTTGTTCTGCCTTCAAGGTCCCTATGTTTGGAAACAACTAGGAACCAATTAAGAACGATTCTACTTGTTCAAGTCTCTCTTTGAGTGTTGTCCTAGGCTTAAATTTCTTAACCGATTGTAATAGCTCCACAAATTAAGGAAACTCCTTTCTGCTCACACATTGACAGGTGGCCTCCTTCACTTCGCTAGAGTATTCTATTCAGATTCAGATACCAGATGGTTAATGCTTAGTCAGCTAGCTAAGGACTTTTATATAGGTAGGCATTTTCAGTCTGCCTTTCAAATTTATTTTCTTCTCTGCTGCCTCTAGCTCTCTCACTTTAGCTCTTATCTGAGTCATGATCAGAGAAATCCTTTTTAATTCATTTTATAACTCTAATCCCAGCAAATTATTTCCCAGGACTCCAGTTAGAGTAGTACAAAGGAACTGAATAACATTACAGTGGAGAAATTCTTTCAACCCTATACCCCTCACGTTCTATGCAAATCAGAGGTGCAACTGGATGAAAAAGACTAAAAAAGTTTAGCAACCACTGTCCCACTTCTCTCAAGCAAGGACATCACTGCCTTTTATTCTGTACTATGGACAACATAAAAGTGCTGGTTTCTCTCTATCAGAGCAATCTAGATGAGTCAGTTAAACAAACGCCTGGTGATAGTTCCTAGGCAAAGGGGGAAAACACCTGGGTGAGACTCCCCATTAGCTAAATGGAATATTTGCATGTTACAAGCCAAATACCAGCAAAATGAATATGATGAGTACTGTGTCCTGGCAAGTTGATTTATCTATCATCCCCCCATCACTGGGCATCTTCAAGAGGAGACTAGAAGAACACTTGTCAGGATTGATGTAAAGATGAGATACAGATTAGACTAGCTCTGAAATTCTGAGATTCTCTGACTTGATTTGTATTGACTTGACTATGCAGTCTTTTGCAATGAATCTTGCTGGCTACGGTCTAGGGTAGAAGTCACTAAACTTTGCAGTCTGGAGAGCAACATACAAGCAAATTACATTATCTTCTTTTTCTTACCACTGTAAAGTATAACAATTTTTAAAAGTATCAACATCTGTTCTTGCTTGAATAATCATTGTTACATTTTTTGAATGTTCATCACTGACAAAAGAGTCACAAGATCCTAGGATCATAGAATCATAGTATTAAAGATTTATAGGATTTGGAGCTAGAAGGGACCTTAGATATAACTCAGCCTAACTCTTTCAACTATTGGGCTTGAGAAGTCACTAGTTTGAACAAACCACATATTTTGTGAATCCACAGACTAACTACCTGGAGAACCTCCTTGTAGAATAATCAGGGGGTATTAAAACCACACTTTGGGAACCACTTGGGTAGAGAGTAGAATTAGGAGACAGAAACAACAGACTTTCCAACTCTGAAGATTTACTGAAAGACTTTGGGCTAGATTTCCAATGGCTATTTGAATTTTTTCTGTACTTTAGTTTCTTCACATCTGTCCAATACTTGATTGATACTCTTCAAAGCTTGTATATGAACAAAGCATCATAATGTCAAATTTTCCCCTAAAATGTCTGTCACTTGCCCCCCTCCACCATGAGTCCCACCTTCTTCTCTACTTCTCCCTATCCCAGTTTTCAGAGCCCTAATAGCACCCCCAAAACTTTCTTTTTTCTTTCTTTCTTTCCTTTTTTCTCTTCCTTCCTTTCTTTCTTTGCCTGTGTGCTTTTTTTTCAAAAGTAGAAACTTTTTATTCTTTTTTTCATTCCAAATTCTCTCTCTCCCCTCCCACTGAGAAGAAAAGAAAAACAAAATTTGTTACAAATAGGCATAGTCATGTAAAACGAATTCCTGCATTTACCATGTTTAAAAAAAAAAGAAGAAGAAAGAAAGGGGAAAAATATGCTTCAGCCTGTATTCTGAGCACATCCATTCACTATCTGGAGATGGACAGAATGCTTCAGCATGAATCTTTCAGAATTGTGGCTCATCATTTACTGTTCAGAGTTACTTAGTCTTTCAAAGTTGATTATCTTCAAAATATTGCTGTTACCCTGATTTTGCTCACTTCATTTTGTATCAGTTCACACATATCTTTCCAGATTTTTGAAAACCTCCCCTTTATCATTTCTTACAGCACAATAGTATTCGATTACATTCATACACCACAACTTGTTCAGCCATTCCCCAGTTGATGGGCATCCTCTCAGTTTTTAATTCGTTGCCACCACAAAAAGAGCTGCTATAAATATTTTTGTACAAATAGGTCCTTTTCCTCTTTTTTTAATCTTTTTAAGGTACAGAACTAATAATGGTTTTGCTAGGTCAAAGGAAATGCACAGCCTAATAGCTTTTTAGACAGTTTGAAATTGCTTTCCAGAATGTGAACTTTTCAGTACACAGCTTCACTAACAGTGCATCAGAGTACCTGTTTTCCTATAGCCCCTCCAGTGCCTCCAGTGTCGGTCATTCTCTTTTTTTTGTCATCTTAGCCAATCTGACATGTGTGAGGTAGTCCTTCAGAATTGTTTTAATTTTAATTTCTCTAATTATTGGTGATTTAGAGGATTTTTAAAAATATGGCTATTGAAAGCTTGGATTTCCTCCTCTGAAAACTGCCCATTCATATCTTTTGACTATTTATCTATTGAGGAATGGCTCTTTTTCTAGTCATTTGACTCAGTCCTTATATAACTTAAAAATGAGACCTTTATTAGACAAACTTGTGGCAAAGATTTCCCCCCAGTTTCCTGCTTTTCTTCTAATTTTAGCTGCATTGGTTTTGTTTGTGCAAAAACCTTTTAATTTTACATAATTAAAATTATCTATTTTACTTTCTATAAACTTCTCTACCTTCTGTTTGGTTATGGACTCTTCCTCTCTTCATATATCTGACAGGTAATTTCTTTTATATTCCACTAATTTACTTATGATATCCCTTGTCTAAATCATGAATCCATTTTGCACCTACCTTGGTATATGATATGAGATGCTGGTCTGTGCCTAATTTCTGACTGGCTTTCATTTTCCCCCAGCCCTAATCTTCATGGCACTCACTTGCTGCCTTTTCTAGATCTGCCCACCCCTGGAACTGGGGTTTATCTGTGTACTAAAGGGCATTGATAGCCGCCCCAGTTTTGCTGAAATTATTGCTTCAGAGCATGAACTTTCATAATGAAACTGAAAGATCAGATACAAGAGGTTTAAGTGACTGAAAAGGAAGAGGAAGTTAGAGAAAAAACCGAAGTGGGAGATACAGGACAGACTTAGGAACAGCCAGGGTAAGATATATGACTGCTGATACTGCCAGAGGGCTTCTCCTTGATTGTGGGATACTACTCGAAGCTATTAAGGCATCAGTATTTTCTGCATTTTGGATGTTGAGGTGGCAGTATCATTTGTGCCAGGAAGCAACGGCTACAGACTGCTGCTTAGCTGTAATTCCCATGTTAAGAAGCCGTGCTTTGCATGCAAAGCCCCATGTTTTTCTGCTGAGATGCAATACTTTTGAGACAAAGAAACTGTCAGAACTTGAGGCTCCTGAAGCCATCTGTTGGGCAAGTTACGACATGAATTCTGTGCTAATTTGTAGCCTTGTGCTGATGATAATGCAGCATAGGGAACAAAGATAAGGGACTCATCCCTTCCTTCCCAGTACTGGGAGCATAGGAACAGATAGTTTTAGGATACCAGTAGTAAAGTCTGCTTTTTAAATTAATTCCTCATTACTTACTTTGCATCTTGTTTTGAGAAAATGTCCTTTTGCCTTACTATAATGTCATATGTTAAATTCTGGCAAAGTTAGGAAGAGATCGTGTTGGAAACGGGAGTTGATGAGTAGTGATTTTGAATAGATGGTAGACTCAAACAAGTTATAGGAACGTGCACGCAGCAGTTATCATCGTTCAGTCGTTTCAGTCATGCCTGACTTTTTATGACCCATTTGGGGTTTTCCTGGCAAAGATACTGGAGTGATTTGCCATTTCCTTCTCCAGCTCACTTTACAGATGAAGAAACTGAGGCAAAAAGGGCTAAGCAACTTGCCCAGGGTCACACAGTTAATAAGTGTCTGAGGCCAGATTTGAACTCAGGAAGATGCTGACTCTAGGCCCGGCACTCCATCCACCACACCACCTAGCTGCCCCACATTTAGCAGTAGGACACTACAAATGTAGAATGCACCAACAAACATCAAACTCTTCATAATATAACATAATGGAAAGTCTACTGGATTTGGCATTAAAAGAGACATGTTGAAATTCTGGCTTTAGCACTTTAAAAGATTTTTGAGCCTCAGCTAGTCATTTACATTCTCTAAACCTCATTTTCCTCATTTCTAAAATGAGATAATATTTACACTATCTTCCTAATAGGGCTGTTGCTAGGAAAACACTTTGTAAACCTCAAGGCACTATATAAATGGGAGTTATAATTCAATTCAATAGATATTTATCAAGTACATATTTTGTAAAAAAAAAAAAAGCACTGCACTAGGTGCTGGGGGATGCAAAATTTATGTAAGATATTGTTTCTGATTTCACGGAACTTAGAGGGAGAGAATAATGTCTATATTAAGCAGTCAACTAGGAGTCAAGAGAGACCAGGTTCAAGTTCCAGTTCTAACATTTACTAACTTTGTGATTCCATGCAAGTCACTTAACCTTTTTGTTTCCTCATGTGTGTACTACCTATCTCACTGAATTATATTAAGCAAATAGCTTTGTAAAATTTTTAAATGTTGGAAAAATATGTTATCATTATTAATAATAAATTGATATTTATATAGTGCTTAAAGGTTTGCAAAATACTTTACATTCACTATTGTTATTTATTATATTGGTCTGTGTGGACTGAGGAAAAAAAACAAAACCCTGATAATATCCCTATTGGTTTTATCCCTAAGAATTAATGTCTCCAAGTTTCAAGTCTGTACATACCTGCTTATGATCTGTAAGTTATTTTTGCCTTGCCTTACCATGTAGATGTGAGAGGACTGTATTTTTTGTGACTCCTCCTTCTGTCTCTGGACACAGAAGAGATTCAGAACATAATCTTAAATGACAATCTATAGACTCGTTGTCTGCTGATTAAGCTGGGGTCAATTCTCATTTGTAGTTGCCACCCCTGGTAATTTAACTAGCTGAAGATACACCCCTGATTCCATCTAGCCCTGCTTACAAACAGGCAGAAACCTGTGAAGAGTCTTTTTCTGTTCTGAAGACACAAAACACCCATCTCCTCATGATTAGAACCCAGGAAGAAACAAGTGGCTGTCAGCACCATGGCTAGGGGCAGAGGTAAGACTAATTACAGCTCACTCAGTCAGCACTATGGCAAGGGAAAACAGCAAGCTTTTTAAAGCCTAACTTTATTGCACCATCTTTATGAGGTGTCATATTTAAGGAGGAAGAGAAAAGTTTACTACCAGTAGTAATAAAACTGACTGCTGTTAAGGAAAGTGTGTGTCTCCCAGAATGATGACACCTAGGAAAGTGACTGGGGAGCTATGTATGTATCCATGTTTTCCCTCTGCCAAGACATGTTGTGGACTGTTGTTACATTTGGCTCCTTCACATTGGCTGAGGGTTATCCTTCTGGTATTAGGAAAATGAAATAATAATAGGTTTTCTGAAGACATTCTAGCTGCATCTCTGATGTGGCTGCTGTCCAAGATTTTGTCCTATCAACTTCAGAGTATGATCCAGAGCCCTAAATGTGCAAACAGATTTTCAAAATGGGAGAGAAAGGGGGCCTGGGCTACTGGGCACTGTAGGGCTGCATCTGGTGGTGGATAAATCCAAATGTGGCTTTCCTTAGGATGATTCCTATTCCCTTAGAGGAACAGATCTTCAGCTATTCTCCACTAGATGGAAAGCGGCATCTTGTATTGGTTCCAGAGTAAATTTTGGCAAATGGTTATCTACCAATTATGTCATCTCCTTTAATCTTTCCTCATTCTGTTCTAGCTCGTGTGAGTCAATCCCTCTATACTCTTAATAATTATATAACCTCCAGAACAGAACTCTTTTATGTACACTTGGCCTAATGCTGCTACTTTTCCCGATCTTTATTCTTTTTACATTTTTACCTCCATAAGCATAACTGGGGAGAGAGGGGAAGCAGATCCAAGATTACGTTGTTAGAATCCAAGTGTTGATGATAATACTATTCTTGACAGTAAAAACAACTGTTATAAAGATCTCTGTAGATCTTTTCTGTATTTCTTTTTTTCACCCATCTGTTGAGTAGATTGCAACACATAATAAGGAACTTGTTACATAAATAATTTATTTGTTTAAAAAATAAAAGAAAGAAGGGCTGGTCACATGGTGAGAGAGTTACATGAGGATATCCTCATGATGCTAAGGAAAAATGAAAAAGGTACCTGGCCAATTGAATGGGCCCCTTGTGGCAAACTTATGGTAGGGCATGGACAGGTGTCACACAGGATGGACAGCCATGTATATGATATGATTGTCAGCACTGAAAGGAATGCTCACTTCTATTTGAGTATTTTGAGCATTTTGTTATAGAGAAACAACAACGTTTAGTGCTAAGTACTACCAGAGAACTTCTCAGTGCGGAAGTCAGTGGGGTTATTACTGGTACATATATATAACAACACTTCCTCTTAATCTAGTTTTATTTGGACGATAGTGAAAGAGAATCTTGGGATTGAGGCTTGTCTCAGCAGATGAATATCTTCTCTATATGAGTCCCTTAGAAATAAGCATTCCCTACATATGTCCCGTATGTTCTCTACATGTGTGCTCTTCCCCATTGGTGGTATAGTACCCATGGGAGAATGTGTCCCATATGTGCAAGAAAGGAAATATTTTTTCTCAAATTATTTGCTATATTATTTGATTAAATGTCTTTTGCTTCTAATTAACATGTCTTCTCACTAGCAGGCTAAAATAAACACAAGGATTGGGGGTTTATAATGTCACATGGTGAATAATTGCCTCTTGCCTACTGTCTACTATCAGTCAGTCAACAAGTATTATTAAGCCCCTACTATGTTTCATGTACTATACTAAGCACTGAAGATATAAAGAAAGACAAAAACAAGGGCAGAAACAAGATGGTAAAGAAAAGGCAGGGACTCACCCCTAAACCCCTCCCAACAACTTTAAATAATGCAGAGCAGAAAAACCCACAAAAAGAAAGGATGAAACAATTTTCCAGCCCAAAACAACTTAAAAAGCAGCAAGAAAAGTCTGTTGCATAAGGGTAAGCGTGGAGCACAGTCCAACAAAGGCCGAGCCCCAGCAAACCAGCAGTAGGCCTTGGGGTGACTGAATCAATGGTAGCAGTGGTGGTTTCAGACTTTTCAGTCCACGGATAGTAAGGGGGGTCAGATAACTGGTCAAAAGGAGATTACAGGAGTCCCTTTGCTGACACCATGGGCAAGGACTATGTTGCATTGCCCACACTCAGATCCAGGTCATAGTCCTGGGTTTCAGTCCCAGAATGAGGAGGAGCATTAGCACACCAGAGTTTGAGGCCACAGAGGAATGAGTGCTTGTGGTCCCTCACAGACAGGAACATGGGCCAGGAGAGTAGTAAACACAACTCTGTCTGCAGAGAGAGTTCTTCTCCCTCAGAAGAACCAAAAACTTACAGGTCTACAGAATTATCTCTAAAAACAGCTGCACAAAAAATCTGAAGCTTAGGATATTGCCCCCTCCACACCAGAAGCAGAGCCCCACTTTAGTATAGAGTTAAAAGTCAAGAAACAGCCTGGAAAATGAGCAAACAGCAGGAAAAAATTCTAACTATAGAAAGTTACTATGGTGATAGGTAAGATCAAAACACAAACTCAGAAGAAGACAACAAAGTTAAAACTGCTACATCTAAAGTCTCAGAGAAAAATATGAATTTGTCTCAGGTTATGGAAGAGCTCAAAAAGGATTTTAAAAATCAAGTAAGAAAGGTAGAGGAAAAATTGGGAAGAGAAGTGAGAGTGATGCAAGACATCATGAAAAAGAGTCAACAGTTTGGTAAAGGAGGCACAAAAAAAATACTAAAGAAAACAACACCTTAAAAAACAGAATAGTCCAAATGGTAAAAAG